GGGCACCGCTCCTGGGGTGCCCTCCTGCTCGTTCTCCCCCGACACCTGACGATGTGATGTTCGTCAACGGCGAAATGTCCCGATTTCGGCCCGCGGGGGCCGCTTCAGGGCCCTAGGGCCATCAGAGATGGATCCGGGCGAAACTACTCCCGGGAAAGCGGGACCTCTGGGGCTATGTGGCTCCCATCGTACTTGAGGACCACATCCCAGAAATAATTTTGAGCACCCAGAGAAGTGTCGAAACAGTGTCGAAAGAGTGTCGCCTCCCAGGGCCCGACACGTGAAAACCCTCATATTTCTGTACTTTCCTGGTGTTCGAGATCCTTTCTGGTAGTCAAGACTAGAATAAGTTGGAACATCATATTTCTGGGGTCGCGGAACAAACAAAACCAGATCGGCGGATGACGGGGCTCACGCCGCCGAGCTTCACGCAGGTCCGCCCCTCGGTGCGCGGTGCGCCCCCGCCCCCGCCCCAACTTCCCCGGGCGAGGGGCTCCATCCATCGAGGACGAGCAAAACACCATGCAAACATGACCTTTTGGCGTTCCGCGCGGATTTCCTGCATCTGCGCTGGACACCCCTCCCTGGCGCGCGGAGCGAACCACGGGCAGCGCCGGAGGCCGGGGGAGACTTGCCGAACCTTCCGAGGAGGCCTTATCCTGCTCACGTCCCCCCTCCCTCGCCCGCCGCCGATCGCTGCACAAAGCGGAAGAAGAAAAATCCATAACCATACAATTTTGGCGTTCCGCGCGGATTTCTTGGATTCGCGCTGGACCCCCCTCCCTGGCGCGCGGAGCGCGCCAGGGGCTGCGCCGGAGGCGCCGCCGGGGGGGCCCACCGCCGATCCACGAAATCCGCCCGGAGCGCCAAACGTTCATGTTTGTGGCGGTTGTTCTTCTTCGGGTGCCGCAGTGGCGCGCATATTACCGCTCCTGGATGAATGAATCGACGACGACGACGACGGCGACGACGACGACGATGATGACGATGACGATGGCGATAAAGACGACGACGACGACGACGACGACGACGACGACGACGACGACGACGACGATGACGTCATCGACATCGTTGTCGGACGTCCGCGCGATCATCTCGGCGCCCTCTTGCCCCCGCGCCGCCCCTTTGGGAGGACGGCGGCCGCGCGGGCCCGAGGCCGCGACGCGCAGAGCGCGACTGCCCTCGCGCCCCCGTGCGGGTGACTGGGAGGTCTCCCTGCGGGCTGCTCGCAAGCGGTCCCGTTGCGATGCGATGCGACCTGAGGTGTCTGGATTAATGCAGTGCGAGACATGTAAAAAGTTAGGAAGAGAGGGGCAGGAGGAGGAAAAGAAAGTCCTGGGTGTCGGTGTCGGCGCGGGTTGGGCGAGACGTCTCGACGTTCGCAAAAGGTTTTGCGTCATTGGTCGGTGAAGTGGTGCTCGAGCGCTGTCCATGCTTCGGTGTCGTGGGCTGCTTGCGTCCATGTGATGTCGTTCAGTTGTCGTTTCGAATGGGCTTGCGTGGGCCGTCGGTGGAGGTCTGGTCTGCGTTGACGCAAGTAAATGGTGACTTCCGCGTCCCAGCGTTTGTTTTGGCCACCGTGCTGCCTGTGTCCCCGCTGGCGCGGATTGAGGACTGGGTGCCAGCGCAGCACTCGCCATGTCCACCTCGTCCAGTCGTGGTTTGCGACTCGCGAAGCGATGCGCCATACTTCCATGTGTGCAGCGTCTCCCAATTGTCAAGGCGGTGGGGCTTCATGAGGTGCTCTGCGCGTCGTGTCGCTCGCTGGATGTAGTCGACCCATGGTTCCATTTCGTCGGCTGTGGTGCTGTATTCGCCGGCTTCGCTGTGCTGGCCAGGCGTGTCAGGTGCATCGCGCTGTGATGGAGTGCTGTCTGCGTCGTCGCTAGTGCTGTTGGTGCGGTCTTCGCGGTCTTGTGCTTCGTTGCTCGCGCCATCGAGATTAGGTCCCTGGCCGCTGTTGGGGCCGGCTTTCGTTGTGCGTCCCCGTGGCGTTCTGATGATCATGCGAAGCATGCGTCGTTGTCCGTCGTAGATGCTGGCATAGAGGCTCCGTGAAGGTCTACGTCTCTGCTCCGTATAACGTTGTTGGTGCTAAAGTGTTTTTGAAAAGCTGGCGTCGGTGGGCCAGTGGGTAGTGTTTGCTGGTCAGCTCCTGCTTGCGAGACGCGAGTGATGCCCATGCAGGTCGCGTGCGGTGGTGGCTTTCCGTTTCCACCGGTTCGTGGAAGCTGATCAGTTGGCCAAGGTATTTTGTCACTGCCCTCGTATGGAACGATTTCTATATCCATGTCTTGCAAACGTGCTGTGCGTGAGCTCGCCCTTCTGGTCCTTCTCGTCTGGTTGCTCAGTATGTTGGTTTTGCTTGGGTGTAGTTCGAGCCCGTGTAGCCTCGTCGCCAGCACAATGTCGTCAACCGTCGCTGTCAGGCGCGGGGAGAGATTGGCTGGTCAAGAGCACGTTGTCGGCGAAGCGTAGGTTGGTCAGCGCGGCGGTCCTCGCGAATATCAATTCAACTCCCTTCCCTTTTTCCTGCCGTTCGGAGACCAGACGTCCAAGGATGTATTGTAGAAGAGCGTTGAAGAGTAGGGAGCTGAGTGGGTCTCCCTGCCTCGTGCCCCGCAGGAGGCTACAGGGTCTGCTGCTGACGTCTGTCCTCACCGTGGCTGCTTGTCCCTCATAGAGCTGTTGGAGTAGTGCAACGCATTCAGGTTGGACCCCTTGTGCTTTCAGTGCTGCCCATATGCTCTTGTGCCCAACTGAATCGAAAGTTTTTTTTTTTTTAATCAAATGCTGCGACCCAAAGATGTTGGTCCCATTCGTTCGAGCGCTCGCGCAATAAATGAAATGTAAAAAGGTGGTCAGTGGTCGAGTGGCCTGGTCTGAATGAAGCCCGCCTGATCGGCAGTCTGGTGTGAGTCAAGCGTCGGTTGTAGCCTGTTCTGCAACGGTCGGCTGAAGAGCTTGCACAACAATGGTATCGTGCACATGGCGCGGTAGTTTAGTGGAAGCGCGAGATCTCCAGTTTTTGGTATAACTGTGATGACTGTGCTCTTCCAGCAGGCCGGCGGCGGGGCTTCGCGCTGCAGGATCGTGTTGTAGAGGTGTAGAAGTGCACCTCTGAGTTCCTCTGTGCCTTCTTTGAATATCTCTGCGCGAAGGCCTTTCGTGTCTGGGGCGTTACCAAGCCGGAGACCTTTGATCGCCTTGTTTAGCTCTTTCGGTGTGAAGGGTGGGAGTCGGTGAGTCAGCTGGTCGCTGGTCGGTCGTAGGTCTGCCAGTCTGTTGGCCGGCGGGGGGGGGTCGGTCTGCTGGTCTGCTGGTCGGTCGGTCGGTCTGGCGTGCGGTTTGCTGCTTTGCCGGTGTGCTGGTCGGTCAGCTCTGGTCGGTCAGCGGGGTGGGGTCGTCGTTTGGTCGTCGTGGGAGTCGGTGGGTCTGCTGGTCGGTCGGTGGTACTCGGTCTGCCGGGCGAAGCGGTGCCGCCATCTAAGCCGAAGCCAAAACGAGGGGAAATTCGGGCGAGGATACACCGAGAATCTCTGAGATCTGGCGGCTCTGGAAGACGTTTTCGGCGCGGCGGCCTTCTCAGAACGTTCGGGAACGCACCTCTCGTCGTCCTCGTCGCATCCAACAGAGTCTCCGGCGCCATGATGGTCTCATCACCGTGGAACCCAGCCGGTCCAGACCTCAGGGTCAGCTCCCCAACAGGACTCGGCCAAAGCAATGGTTTTCGTGTTCGGTTCGTTCTCGTTTTCGATCGTTTTGTCTCTAGTCCGCCTGTGCGCCGCAAAACGAAGTCGAAACGAAAACGGCCTAAGAAATCGCCGACACACCGTTTCGGTCGAGTCCTGATTCCCATCCCGAAGAGGAGGAAAAGGAGGGGGCGGGAAAAAGGAGGAGGAGGACGAGAAGGAAACGAAGAGGGATGAGGAGGAGGACGAGGAGGAGGAGGAGGAGGCGGAGAAGGAGAAGAAGGAGAAGGAGGAGGAGGAGGGAGAGGAAGGACGAGGAGGAGGAGGATGGGAAGAAAGAGAAGGAGAAAAGGAAGGAGGAGGGGGAGGAACAAAAAGAGGGAGGAGGAGGAAGAAGAGGAGGAGGAGGAGGGGGAGGAGGAGGAGGGGGGGGAGGGGGAGGGGGAGGGGGAGGGGGAGGAAAAGGAGGGGGCGGGAAGAAGGAGGAGGAGAAGGAGGAGGAGGAGGAGGGGAGGAGGAGGAGGTGGAGGAGAAAGGAGGGAGGAGGAGAGAGGAGGAAGAGGAGGGAGGAGGAGGGGGAGGAGGAGAAGGAGGAGAGAGGAGGAGGAGGAGGAGGGAGGAGGAGGAGGAGGAGGAGGAGGAGGAAGAGAAAAGGGGGGAGGGGGAGGAGGAGAAGGAGGAGGAGGAGGAGAAGGAGGAAGAGGAGGAGGAGTTGGAGGAGGAGGAGGAGACCTTGGCAACTGTCTGCGTTTGTTCCTCGATGCCTGGGCTGCTGGCTCGCTACCAGGGCTTTGCTGTCGGGGTCGCCTGCGGGACCCCTGGCTGCAAGGCCTTTGGCCCGCCTCGACGCAGGGCCAAATCCGGGAAACCATGTGGATACTCTTTTCGGCGGGGGCTTAGGACCTTAAGGCCAATCACCCCCGACTCTGGTGAAGTGCCTGCGCTCGGCTGCGATGCAAGGCCAGTCCGCGCCCCTCCTCCCCCCCCACCCCCCACGCTCCCCCATCCCCATCAACTATCTACTATCAGATAATGAGGCCCCTTCGCCGGGAGCAGACGGTCCGCGCGCAGCCCCAATGGACCCCCTGAGAGCCGACGGTCCCGCGCACAGTCCTAGCCGACCACCTTGGGAGCCGACGGTCGCGCGCACAGTCCCAGCCGACACCCTGGAGACCGACGGTCCGCGCAGTCCCAGCCGAGCCCCTCGGGGAACGCTCGAATTGTTGTGCAAGGCCCGCTAGGGCCAAGCACGACAAACCTCAACAGTCGTCAGGCGACGGGCCCCACGGAGCAAGGTCGGCCCAAGGCCCGGAACACGAAAGGGAGAAACCATGAGGACCCGACCAACAAAAAAACACACGCGACTGTGGCTTTACTGCTGCGCTGGGCCCTCATCGCGTGGCCACTTGTCACTTGTTCACTGCGCCCCTACTGCTTGCAATGTCTCCTCAAAAGCTCTATCGCTCTCGTGCTGCCTCTTGCTGCCATCAGCCTTAGGCCGTCAAGGTTCACTCGATCTGCACTCTTGCCTGGCCCCGAGCGCCGCCTGGGTCTGCCTTTCGAGCCCCGGTAGGGGAGGGGCTCCATGGATCATCTCTGCGCCTTGCTCATTGAACGCTGTCACTGTGACCCGCTGCAGATCCGCCAGCGTGTATTTGCCGAGCTGAACCTCGGCCTCTTGACTTCCCGTCCGAATGGCATTGGGCTGCTCCTGCCAGTGTGCGCTCCACGGAAAGGCTGCCATGCTGTTGGATATGAGGCATACATTCGATTTCGCGGCCTGGCCACTGACGGCGTAGGATTTCTTCACCTGGAAGTAGCTCACGATGTCTCCAAAGTCGTTCATCGACGTGAACTCTGTCAGCATGCGGAACTCCTCTAGCCTGGTTTGATGTTTTCCTTGCAGCTTGTCCGGCCTGCTCAGTTCCATGAAGAAGTCGATCCCGATGTGCAGGTGTGGCGGGCCCATCTGCTTCGCGCGTTTCTCCTTGGCGCGCTCCGCGTATGTGACGCCAACATCGGCCCCCGCGTCCACTGCCGCGTTCCCTCACCTGGTCCCAGGAGGGACCAGGTGCCGGCGCTACGTCCAAGGCTGCCCGACACCTGGCGAATTATCTGGGCGCTGTTGGAGCTGAGCTTCTGCACGAGGATGATCTCCTCCTCCTCGAACGCATTGCCACTAAGCTTCTTCGGGTTGCCACGCTGCTGTTTGGGCCTCGGTGGTGCTGCCGCCGTTGCCGCCTCTGCCGTATCGCTTCTTGGCCTGTTGGGCTTCCCTGCTGTGACTCTCCACGACATCGTTGGACCCAGCGCAATGAGTAGTAACGTGTGAAAGATGCTCGTTGCTGCAACTGTCTTCGCGGCTACAGTAACCGCACGTGTAGATGACCTGCTCTTCAAGCTGAAATGCAAACGATGTGGCTTGAATCGGACACTACAGCGGGTTTGACTTTGACATAGTAATGACGTGCCTGAGACATGAGGCTCTGCTGGCAAAAGTTTGTGCACCAGGGGCACACGCTTGTCTTTACGAGTATGGGATACATAGTTCTCATGTTGTGGGCGTGCGTGGCGTGCGCCGTGAGTGCATTGATCGTGGAGAAAGACATCCCGCATATTTTCCCTTCGCCCTCCTCACCCATCTCGCGCGTGCACATGTACTCGTCCACAATGCCGTCGCTCACATCGTCGTCGTCGCCCTCGTGTTCTATGAAATTCACGTTGCTGCTGTTCGTCGTCGCGATCCCTGATCGTACAAGTAGTTGCTGATTTGTGTGTTTGCCCCGTCGCGGCTCAAGAGGTTCCTGAGGGGTCTCACCTGGATATTACCGGAGGAGGAACAAGGGAGAGCCCTCATCCTGGCCCCGTCCGGATCTCGGAGGGCTTCGGGGGGCGGCGGCGCCTCGGAGCAAAGCGATCCAAGGGGCTCGTCCGAGGGGCCCAGCGCAGCGGACGGCCTTAGGGAAGCTCTCGGGGGGGCGCCTCTGGCCATCGCTCGGACGACCATTCCCCGTACATGATTCGGACTCGTGCGTGCTTTTTGCCGCAAGATGTTCAAAAGGCTGCCCGGCTGGGGACGCTTAGGTTGGGCGTCGCGTAATGGGGGGGTGATCAATGGGGGGGGGGGGGGCAGCGAGGGCTGCAGAAACGGGGCCCTCGAGGGCCTCTACAGGGGCCCAAAGGGGGCCTCTAGGGCCCGAGAAGTGCATTTGTCTTCCCCGGGCATTGGTCGTGCGTGCTTTTCAATCACAAGACTCATGGCAAGAGCACTCACAAGTCTGCGCTGTCATAGAGCGCTCTAACAAACAAAGCACATACTGGACCAAGCCCGCGACCGGCACGGATTTGAACAAAAAGCACGCTGCGCGGAGAACGCATGAAGCTCGAACAAGCAGCAGCGCCTCATAGCGGCGGGAGCTGTAAGCCAGATGTGATATGACAGAGTCTGCCAAAAGTCGATCCTGGCCGCGACACCTAACTCTCTTGGGCCTGACCGAGCAAAACAATCACACGTCCGAGCGATGCCCAGGCTCCTGGGGGGCCATGGGCACCTTTGGCCACACACCCGCTGAGGGGGAGGGGGGGGAGGGGGCGCAGCGGCACAACGCTCGAGCCAGAAGCGGCTGCGGCCTGGACTGGGCCTCGCCATCGCTCGGACGTCCATTCCCCCGTGCATTTCTGGGATTCGTGCGCGTCTCTCCTTCGCAAGATGATCCGACATGCTCCGCGATGACCCTCGCAGAGAAAAATGCACACGTCCGAGCGTTGCCAAGGGGCTTGAGCTCCAGGATCGGTCAGCATCGCATCTGAAAGTCGGATCGGATCGGAGCGTGACACAGAGCTCGAGCTAAGCACTGCTGCTCGTGTTCGTTTAGTGTTCGTATTTTCCTTCGTTCTGCCCTTGCTGCAGAACGAACTCAAAACGAAAACGGTTCATGAAATCGCCCAAACACCTTCTAGCTCGATCCCCTGGCGTGAAATGGACCGGGCCGCATCAGATCGTCAAAATACCATAATCGAATCGGAGGAGAAGAAGGAAGGACATGTCATACGTAGAGCCAGGAAGGAGATGCCACATGTGAGATTTGCATGTTTTTGCGCATCATGAACGGGGTTCCTGTACTTTCGCAGCACCCACCATTTCTCCGCCGTGTCCTCCTCTGTTCCTCCCCCTACGAGTTCTATCTCCGAGGTTTCGCCACTTCGCGCCCGTGCCGCCTCGCTGGCGTTCGTGGGCGGTTCGTGCCCTGGGTGGCTTTGCCTACATTTCAACACGTTCGCGCCCGTGCCGCCTCGTGGGCGCTCGTGAGCGCCCTGTGACCTGGGCGTCCACCGACGTTTCGCCACGTTCGCGCTCGTGCCGCCTCGTGGGCGCTGGTGGGCGCCCCATAGCCTGGGCGGGTAGCATGGACTACACACCATATCTCACACTGCGTAGGTCACACTTCACAGCTTACTTACACCACATAGCTCACACCGCATAGCTTACACATCACAGATCAAACCACGTAGCTTACACGACATAGCTTATACCACAGTGTTCACATCACGCAACTTACACAAGGTGTACCGCATAGCTCTCACTCACCTCCACAGTGCGAGAACTCGCTGTTGAGGATCCGCGCTGGCAAACTGATTCTTGATTCTAGCATTCAAGGGATGTTCAATGTACCACACGCCCTACCAAACATTCCTCTTCAACCGCAACGATCACAACACTTAAAACTGTAACAATGATAACGACCGCAACGATGACAGCGAGCAGCGACAACGATCACAACGATAACAACGGTAACGATCTCAACGATGACGATCACAAAGATCACAACGATACCATCGATAACCACCACGCCCTACCCGCGATTCCTCTAAAGCTGTGCGCCGTGCTGCCTCACCCCCGGGGTCCGCCTGGCAACGAGGGGTCTCCGCAGAAGGCTCCTCGACCTGACCCGGCTTCCACCACGTACGAATCCCACCCGAAGGAGCACCCGACTGGAGCGACGACGACGACGACGACGACCACGACTGGAGCAACAACGACGACGACGACGACAGACCCGCCCAGGGCGGCGGCGGCGGCGGCGAGCGGAGCACCCCGAGCGCCCCTCCTGGGAAGACTGCGAGGGCGGCGCCCTGGCGGGCAGCGCCGCCGACGCGGGGGTAGCGGCCGCGTCCTCGCTGCAGCGGCGCGGGGGGGGACTCGAGCACCGAGGGCAGCGCCGACCTTCGGCGACGAGGGCGATCTTTGAATAGGCTGCATCCCCGGGGGGCTTCCCATCGCGTCGCCGTTCGCGCCGCAATTCGAGTCGAATCCCCGGACCCCCGACGTCGTGACTTGTCCACAACATCGACCCCCAAAGGTCTGGACCCCTTCCGTGGGACTGGGTTGTCATCCTGAGTCGTTGTTTGACGGCCCCGAGGCCCGGGAAGAGCCCCCAGAAGCAGAAAATATGGAAAAACCTCACGTCATGATTATTTCACAACGCGAGGAGATTTGGGTCCGCGTCGATGCCCTTCATCCATGTCGCCCTCCTTCGTGTGCGCCTCCGCCCCTCCTCCTCCTCCTCCTCCTCCTCCTCCTCCTCTTCCCCCTCCCCCTCCTCCTCCTTCTCCTCCTCCTCCTCCTCCTCCTGCTCCTCCGCCTCCTCCTCCTGCTCCTCCTCCTCCTCCTCGTCCTGCTCCTGCTCCTGCTCCTGCTCCTGCTCCTCCTCCTGCTCCTGCTCCTTCTCCTCCTCCTCCTCCTCCTCCTCCTCCTCCTCCTCCGCCTCCCTGTGCTCTCTGCCCTCTCTGTCCTCCCTGTCCATCCTCTCCTCCCTGTCCCCTCTCTCTCCTCCCTCTCCCCCCACTCCTCCCTCTCCTCTTTCTCCCCTCTCATCCATCTCCTCCCTCTCATCCATCTCCTCCCTTTCCTCCTCCTCCTCTCCTTCTCCTCCTCCTTCTCCTCCTCTTCCTCTTCCTCTCCTACTCCTCCTCTCCTCCTCCTCCTCCTCCTCCTCCTCTTCCTCCTTTTTTCCTCCCCTTCCTCCTCCTCCTCTTCCTCCTCCTCCTCCTCCTCCTCCTCCTCCTCCTCTTCCCCCTCCTCCCTTCCTCCTTCTCCTCCTCCTCCTCCTCCTCCTCCTCCTCCATTCCTTCTCCTTCAAGAGCTTCACGAATTGAGGGCGGGTGGTTTTCAAAATGTGGCTCTCGCCCTGAACGCCGAACACATTCGTTTTAAACATTTGCAAGCATTTCACGGGTTGAGGGCGGGTGGTTTTCAAAATGAGACTCTCGCCTCAACGCCGCGCGCATTCGTTTTAACACTTTGCAAGAGCTTCACAGTTTTTAGGGCGGGTCGTTTTCGAAATGTGGCTCTCGTCTGAGCGCCAAGCACATGTGTTTTTAACATGTGCAAGAGTTTCACGGATTGAGGGCGGTTCCTTTTTAAAATGTGGCTCGCGCTTTAGCGCCGCGCACAAGCGACTTGCTGCTGACATTTGCAAGAGTTTCACGGATTCCCATGACCCACGTGCAAGAGATGGCGTAGTTGAAGGATTCAAGACCATGCGGGCGCAACAGTTATCTTGATTCGCTGTGTTGAAGTCCCCCCAAAATGGCATTCGGGCACGATTCTGGATCGTCAAGACGCAGCAATCACGTTGACACGTGGCGTTGTTATCCCGAGATCTATGTTTTGGCACGCTTCAGGATCTTCAAACCGTTGTCTTCTAACGAGGCAGTTCCCTCGATGGAAATGGACAGTTGTAGGGGCCTATGACAAGAGAGCTTGAAGGGAGCGTTAACTCCAAAGTCGTTGATGACTCTTGGGTTTCCACTGGTCCTCCTCCTCCTCCTTTTCCTGGTCCTCCTCCTCCTCCTCCGCCTCCTCCTCCTCCTCCTCCTCCTCCTCCCTGTCCTCGCTGTCCTCCCTATCCTCCCTGTCCTCCAGCTCCTCTCTCTCTCTCTCTCTCTTTTCTCCCTCTCCCCC